CCCCTCAGGGATCCCCCAAACCCATCCAGAAACCTCTGGGACCCCCAAATTCCACCCCAAAAAACCCTCGGGGATGCCCATAACCCACCCAGGAACCCCAAATCCCCCTCAGGGATCCCCCAAACCCAATCAGGAACCCCCAAAACCCACTCGGGGATCCCCCAAACCCACCCAGGGACCCATGAGACCCCCAAATTTGCCCCCAAATCCCCATAAGGGATCCCCTAAACCCACCCAGGAACCCCCGGGACCCCCAAATTCCCCCTAAAACCCCTCTGGGTTCTACCAGGGGCCCCCCAGAGCCCCCCTCAGGACCCCCCAGGACCCCTGACCCAGCTCCTGCAGGGGTTTCTCCATGTCCTCCTCGCTGAAGAGGCGCCGGGGAAAGGCCGTGCGGAGGCTGAAGGGCTCGGGGCTGTTCCCGCTGTTGTTCCCGGTGTTGTTCCCGCTGTTGTTCCCGCTGTTGTCCCGGTGTAGCTCCACGAAAAGCCTGACGGCCGCCAGCGGCTCCCGCGCCCGGAAACTCTGCGTCAGCGCCCGCCCGTCCGGCAGCCGCACCTGGGGGGGCCCGGGGGGGTCAGGGATCCTCTGGGATCCTCAGGGATCCTCTGGGATCCTCCGGGATCTCCCGGTCCCTCACCTGGATCCGGCACTCGTCGTATTCCCGCGGCGCCGGCGGCTCCTGGGCGGGCACCGGGGCCGGTTCTGGGGGCAGCGGGGCGAACTGGGCAGGGGAAAGAAGGGATCTGTGGGATCCCAAAGTGTGCTCCAGGGATCCCAAAGTGTGCTCCAGGGATCCCAAAGTGTGCTCCAGGGATCCCCTGGGATCCCAAAGTGTGCTCCAGGGATCCCAAAGTGTGCTCCAGGGATCTCCAGGGATCCCAAAGTGTGCTCCAGAGATCCCCAAGTGTGCTCCAGAGATCCCAAAGTGTGCTCCAGGGATCCCCTGGGATCCCAGACTGTACTCCAAGGATCGCCCCGAGCCCCTGAGATCCTAAAGTGTGCTCCAAGGATCCCCTCGGATCTCCAGGGATCCCAAAGTGTGCTCCAAGGACCCCATTGGGATCCCAAACTGTGCTCCACGGATCCCCTGGGATCTCCAAGGATCCCAAATTCTGCTCCTGGGATCTCCAAGGATCCCAAATTCTGCTCCTGGGATCTCCTGGGATCCCAAATTGTGCTCCAAGGATCCCAAACCGTGCTCTTGGGATCCCCTGGGATCTCCAAGGATCCCAAATTTTGCTCCAAGGATCCTCTGGGATTCTCTGGGATTCCAAATTCTGCTCCTGGGATCCCAAACCATGCTCTTGGGATCCCCTGGGATCCCAAAATGTGTTCCTGGGATCTCCAAGGATCCCAAATTCTGCTCCTGGGATCTCCAAGGATCCCAAATTCTGCTCCTGGGATCTCCAAGGATCCCAAATTCTGCTCCTGGGATCCCCCAGTGCTTTGGGATCTCTCCCCCCACCCACCCCCGAGATCCTCGTGGCCGCCGCTCACCCTCTGCGCTCGCTCCGCCTTGTCCCGCTCGATCTTCTCCCGCACTCTCTGCCTGTGGGGAACGAATCCCAAACATTTTCGGGCCTTTCCCGAAACCTCGGGAATCCCGAGAAGTTCCGGGAGCTGCGGAAAGCCGAGGGAGGGCAGCGGGGCCTTGGGGACACCACGGCCGCCTCAGGGCTGCACCCAGCACCGGCGGCTTGGGGAGGCTCCACGAAGGTTCGGGAGGATCCCTGAAGGTTCGGGAGCGTTCCCGAAGGTTCGGGAGGCTCCCCGAAAGTTTCGGGCTGGGAATTTGGAGGATTCTCTGGAATTTGAGGGGTTCCCGGAGGATTTTTGAGGCCCCCCCCCCCCCAATCTCCTTTTTGCCGCCTTTTTTCGTGAGGGCGCTTCCCGCGCTTGTGGCGCCCCCTGGCGGCCCGGAGGACTCCGCGCGGGCGGCTCCTCCCGGACGGGTTTTTACCGTGAAAAAAGGTAAATTTGGGTAATTTCCCGACAGTTTCGGGATTTTTTTTTGGGGGGGGGGGGGGGGGGTTTTCCCGCAGGAAG